TTTTTTTTTTTTTTTTTTTATCCTCACCCGAGGATATTTTTCCATTTTTTGTACAGATAGAATGGGAGGGAAAGAGAGGAAGAGAGAGAGAGAAACATCGACGTGAAGGGACACATCGAGTGGCTGCCACCCGCACGACCAACCAGGGCCGGGGACAAACTGCAACCGAAGTACGTGCCCTTAGCGGGAACCGAACCCGGGTCTCTCCAGACCGCAGGCCAACGCTCTAACCGCTGAGCCAAACTGGCCAGGGCAGTACTTATTCCTTTTTATTGCTGAAGAATATACCGTTGAGTAGAAAGGCAACGTTTTATTTATTCATTCATTCATCAGATATGGGTTGTTTCCACTTGTTGGCTATTAGAAATAATGCTTCTGTGAACATTCATGTACAGGTTTTTGTGGGACATATGCTTTTATTTTTCTTGGTTATATACCAAAGAGTAGAATTGCTGGGTTGTATTGATACTCCATGTTTAACGTGGAGGAATTGCTGAACTTTTTCATAGGACCTGCATTATTACATCTTCATCAGCAAGTATGAGAGTTCTTTCTCCATATCCTCATCAACACTTGTTATTTTGTTTCTCTTTGATTTTAGCCATCTCAGTGGGTATGCAGTGATACCTCATTGTGGTTTTGCATTTCCCCAGTGATGGTGAGCTTCTTTGATGTTATATATCTTCTTTGGAGAAACGTCTTTTCAGCTCCTTTGCCCTTTTTAAAAATTGGATTGTCTTTTTAAATTGGGTTATTTGTCTTTTTATTATTGAATTGTAAAAGTTCTTTATGTATTCTGGATACAAGTTTATGATCAGGTAAATATCTGTGGGTTCTTTTCACTTTCTTGTTCTTGACCTTTAAAGTAAGTGAGGTTCTTTATCTTAAGCAAAACATGAGAGGGCTTAACACACTTCTTGGGCCTCACATATTTGCTGAAGTCAGTTGAAAAAATGATTTGTGTACAGAATATCATTCTTTTTGTTTTGGGCTGGAAAAAAGGGTGGATTTAACCTTTGCTAAGCTAAGCTGATTGGGAGGATTGCAGAGCTCTGAGGATTTGAGACCTTCTTGTGTATTGAAAGGAAACTTTGGAAGTTGTTTCTCTGTATACTCTTATGTGTAGAAAATAGTGCTTTCCTCCTGGATTAGACAGATAACTGCTTAAAAGGAAGAGGGCACTAACCTGGAAGACCCCTCTTAGTCTTTTTCGGTCCCACGATTTATGATCTACATGGTGTTTCCCAAACTTGTCTATCACAAGGATCACCTGGTGTTAGATTCCAAGGGCCGCCTAAAGGTTCAGGTTCAGTAGTTCTGAGGCGGCACTTTTCATAATCACCCCCACTGATTGAGATCAGGAACACCTGAGAAACTCTGATCTAAACTGGTGATAATAATGACCTTTTAGTGGTTGCCCCTAGAACTTAATTAGACCTCTTTAGTGGGTGTGGTCCTCAGATGACAGACATCCCTCATGGAGGGTGATTACAAAGAGCTGATCCAGCCAGTCTGGCTGCTTTGCTTACCTCAGCTACTGATCTGGATCCAAGGCAACCCAAATGCTCTTCCCTTCCCCTTATGTAGTAGAGACGGTTCTAGTATAAAAATTCAAACCAGACAAGATCAGGCACGTTCAGGGAGAAAGAGGTGAAGGGATTGCGAATTACAAAGTAGTAGTTACAAAATAGTCATGGGGATATAAAGTACGTACAGGAATATAGTCAATAATATTGCAATAACTATGTATGGTGTCAGGTGGGCACTAGACTAACCAGGGGGATTACTTCATAAGTTATATAAGTGTCTAACCACTATGCTGTACACCTGAAACCAATACAAGATAATATTGAAAGTAAACTGTAATTGAAAAGTAAAATAAAAAAAAATATTAAACCAGGTTCACAAACATTTTCAAGTCATAATGTTGCCAGCATCCTCTTGAGAGTCTCTTTCTCCTCTTTTCTTCCCTTTAAGATGTATGTGTCTATTCTTATTTTTTACCACCATTTATCCTATCTATGCCCTCTTTCACCTCCACCCCACCCTCTGCAGCCACCACACTGTTGTCCATGTGTTCTTTCTCTTTTTTATTTTTTTAAATAAGATACCCCACCCCCCAAAACAGCAACAAAATGGGGGAAATATTTGCCACACACATTACTGAAAGGGGCTAATTTTATTAACATATACCAGTTATTTTTAAAAGTTTGATAAAATTGAGTTTGTGGAATATATGAGTAAACACATTGCTATTTATTTTTAAAAAAAAGAAGAAGAAGAAGCATTTATGTCTTTTGTTTGTTTTGTTTTTACTATTGCTGAGTCCTTGGCGGCCTCCAGGGCCACACAGGTCTCCATGGAAGCTATGGGGAGAAGGAAGCACAGAAGGCAAACTAGAGGGCGTTTTATATAATCCGACACTTTCTTGTTTTGGGTTGTTTGTCAGTCTCCTAAAGGATTTGATAAATGTGAGGTCGGGCCAGCCTTTTAATGGGGGAGGGAGACTCATTTGCCTGTCCTTCTCTCTCTCTCTTTTTTTTTATTTTGGTAGGAAACAAACCTGGGACTCTCTGGTCCACAGGCTGGCGCTCCAACCGCTGAGCCACACTGGCCAGGGCTGCCTGTCTTTCTCTTAAAGGAGACTCTGTGTCACCAAGGGAGCAACAGTGCAGTGTAGTGGTTAGAGTGTCGCTGTGAATCTGATAGTCAGCTTGGCATCCTGGCTCTGCCACCTTCTAGCTGTGGCACCTCGGGTGAGGTGTGTTAATGTCTCTGTGCTGCAGTGCCTCATTACCCGGGGGAGTACCTCCCTAATACCTAAAGGTTGTGAAGGGTTGGAACAGTGCCTGCAGTACAGAAGCAATCAGCTGGTAAGCAAACGGTAAATGTGACCTGGGGTGGTAGGTTATACTTACCTGGGTGGGGAGGCGGGATTATTTCTATTCTTAAAGTCACACAGCTATTAAATGGTAAAACTAGTCTTTCTTATACCCTATACTGTGATTGCCTGTAGGTATGCAGTGTGGAAGCCAAGAGGAAAATTCTAGCGTTTTGTGTGGATCTTTGGCACAGTAAATGTTTGTTGGTGAATGAGTTAAACATACCAAGCTGTTTAGTAGCTAAGCCTTCTAAGCGGGTCTGCGCAGAGTAGGTGCTGCGGCACTTCGCCTTGTCTTGCGGTGGAGTAGAATTTTCAGCCAGCAAGATTTCTGGCCTATTCATTTTTATATACTGGCTTCCCTGGGGGTTTGGTGCATCTACTTTTTTGGGAAAGTGGAATGAATTTTCCCTACTTTGCAGATAGTGCTCATGGGACACCTGTAGAGCTCCAAGTGTGTGACTTTCATCAGAGCTTTCTCACAAATGACAACCTCGGGCACACAGATAAGAGTAATGTATTACTGTGAATTTCCTCACACAGGTCTTCCCTGCTGGCAGAGGCATCTGATAGAGCAGATAAAGGCTTGGGCTACATTTGCCTAATGTTATCTAACGGTTTTTGAGACCTGTTTCATTCATTCCTTCGATTTTATCTTATTTTTTTCATTCTTGATTCATTTCTTCCTACCTTCCTTGTGTGGTTTGTATGTCAGTTGATTGTTTCGGCACTGGTCCTGTTCGGGTAAATAAAAGTAATGAAACACTTTATATAATCATATATCATTATATATTAAAATCATTATATATCAAGAAGGTTCACAGGGAAGTTAAAAGTATAGTGGTAATTTCTTGGTGTATATAGGGATATTCGCATCATGAATTTTTATATGTGACAAATAATTTATAATTTGTACTTTGCCTCTATTTATTAAAAACAGTTTAAAAATAAGCCATTGTTAGTCCCTGGTCGAGGAGCATCGTCCCGATACACCAAGGTTTCGGGTTTGATCCCTCGTGGGGGCACAGATAAGAATCGGCCAATGAATGCATAAACGAGTGGACAACAAATTGATGTTTCTCTCTCTCTCTCTCCCTCCTTTCTTCTCTCTCTCTAAAAATTTTTGGGAAAAAAATCATTGCTGGTAGCATTCTCTGATGGCCTTTAATGTCTTATTTCTCAAGCATTCTACTTAGCTTTTATGGAAACAACTCTTTCTTATTATACCCATATATAATTATTTTACATAATATTTCATGAAATTTCATAATTTCAGTAGCAAACAACTGGCACAAAAAATCAGTTTGGGAGCAAACACACTGATTCCTGGTGACTGTCTGCTCAATGATAGGAGCAGAATTCACGAGTTTGCCCATCTTGATTACTAGCTGTGGGCACCCAGTCATGATGGGCGTCAGCTGGAATGCTGACAGGTGACCCTGCATCCTGGAGTCAGCTAATTGGAGGTTTGGTAAGAGCTTCTCCTGTATGTATAACTTCAGAAACAAAAGCAAACTTGATAACAGTGTGTGGGAATTAATATTACCAAGTAGGGAAATTGGGATACTCTTTCCATTTTTGTTTTAAAATCACATTTGGCTTTTTATCTTCCTCACATCATGTCTGTTTGTATACAGTTACTTCCCTCCTGAATAATTTATTTCTGCATCTAAATGTTTTTTGAAATTATGTGGCTTTCCTTTTACCTGGAAGATAATTTTAAGTTCTTTTAAAATGCGGTTTATAAAAATATGACCCACCCATATCTATCCATTGAGTGAAAGCATTACGAAAGTCTAACAACAACTCCATGTTTTCTTCTCACACTTGAGTCCAGAGGTTCACTGAAAGTAAGTCACACCTAGATTTTATATGTCATTAAACATTAGTGCTCTGTACTTGGTGTCACGGTTTCTGTAGCATTTGCCGAAATCAAAGTCCGTAATGTTGGCCTGGCAACTTTCCCTACTTTGGGTAGGGAGGACATATTGAGCCCATCTTTTCTTTCTTTTTTCTTTTCTCTTCTCTTCTCTTCTCTTCTCTTCTCTTCTCTTCTCTTCTCTTCTCTTCTCTTCTCTTCTCTTCTCTTCTCTTCTCTTCTCTTCTTTCTTTTCTTTCCTGTCATATGGAACAGTTCTCGAGTTTGTGCCATCTCTGCGCAGGGGCCATGCTCATCTCTGAATCTTTCCAGTTTTAGTCTATGTGCTGCCGAAGCGAGCACTTGAGACCTTTTTTTTGTTGTTAACACTCATCCGAAGATAATTTTCCATTGATTTTTAGATAGAGTGGAAGGGAGTGGGGTGGAGGGGAGAGGGAGAGGAGAGAAAGAGAGAGAAACATTGATGAGAGAGAGACATATTGACTAGTTGCCTCCCGCATCACTCCGACTGGGACTGGTATACGTGCCCTTGACTGGGAATTGAACCTATAACCCTTGGTTCCATGGGCTAACAGTCAAACCATTGAGCCAAACCGTCCAGGGCAAGACCATCTTTTCAATGTGCTCTGGTGAAGCAAGATCCAAGGTTTTGATAAATCCTAGTACCTTGGAGTGTTTTAGAGCACCTCTCAGTTTAGAGAACTATTTCTTTATAATTATTCAGGTTTTGTATGATGTTAATTTCATTATCAAGTAGGAGCAGCTTTTCTTTTTTGCAATATCTGAATATGTAAATACATACAAAGTGCCTGGTAAAATATAACCCTTTGAAAAGAGTGCGTGACATGCTATCTTAGACCGTATGCAGCTCTGTCCCTCTGCTCTCTCATTTATCATAGATCGTATGCCATTCAGTGTCCCTATTCTCTCTCATTTATTCGTATGTTTATTAAACATATATTTATTGAGTGCCTCCTATTTACCAGGCACTATTTTAGGTACTGGGGATACAGGGGTCAACAAAATAGACACACACACAAAATCTTACTCTTGCAAGGTGAGACAGACTGTGTGTGTGTATGTTTGTGTGTGTGAAGTACTTTGGGGGAAAATACACCAGAGGAGAGAGGAGGGAGGTTCGGAACGGGGGAGTTGCAATGACAAGCAGGAGGGTCAAGGGTGGCCTCACTGAGGTGACCTGTGCTGAAAGGCCTGAGGAAGGTAAGGAGTCATGTTGCTGTGCTGGGAAGGGAGCCCCACGAAGAGGTTACAGCAAGTGCAAAGTCCTGGGCTGAGGCAGGCTTCCCTCCTGCCAGGAGCTGCGGGGCCAGGGCGACTGGAGTACAGTGAGCAGGAGGGGAGCAGACACTCGTTCCTACATGGCGTCTGGTCCTGGAGGCTATTGCAAGGGCTTTGGCTTGTGTGTAGAGTAAACAGAGAAGCTGATGGAGAGTTTCAAATAAAGATGTGACATGATTCTGCTTATGTTTTAAGAGGACTCATTACTACTGTGTCTCATGGGACTAGATTTAAGTGGGGAAGGGCAGAAATTGGGAAACCAGTTAGGAGGCTATTGTAACCTCAGTGAGCGATGGTGATGGCTTGGAGCAGAGTGGTATGCTAGGAAAGAAGAGTGGGAAAGATTTCCTGACACCGGATGTGAGATGTGAGGGAGGGAGGCCAGTGGTGAATTGCAAGGTTTATGGCCTGTGTAGCTTGCAGGGTGGAGTTGCGGTGACCCAACAGGGAAAAGCAGATTTGGGGAGAGGTCAGGAGCTCAGTTTTGGAGATGTCTAGTAGGCAGTTGGATATACTAGTCTGATTTCAGAGGAGAGGTCTGGGCTGCAGAGAAACACTTGGGAGTTGTCAGAATATAGAGACGGGATGAAACCCACAGGGAGTAGTGTAGATGGAAAAAAGAGGTTCAGGGCCAAGAACCTGGGGTGCTTCCACACTGAGGTTGGGAAGATGAGATGGAACCAGTAAAGGGGAATGAGAAAAAGCAGCTAATGAGGGAGGAGGAAAACCAGGAGTGAGGTGTCTTGGGAGCCACGGGTCCAGAATTGACTTAGGGATTTAGCAGTGGAGACGTCATTGGTGAGCTTGGCAACAGCAGTTTTGGAGTAGTGGGAGCCAAAAATTGATTGGTGAGGTTCAAGGAGCAAAGGAGTAGAGAAATGAAAACATCAAATGTGGACACATATTTAGAGGATTTTTGCTGTGAAGGGAGGGTGAGAACCATAGCTGAAGGGAAAGTGAGGTCAAGAGGGGCTTTAAAATGGGGGACATAAGAGCATGTTTGCTGATGGGAAAGACAGTAAAGAGGAGAAAAGGAATGATCCTTCGTGTGGTGGTGTGATTCCCATTCAGAGGAACTTTGGTTTAGTTTAAAACAGCTAAAATAATTGAGTTTACTATTATAAACACCAATTTTTGTTTATGTAGTCTACATTTTCAACAAAGCTTTTATCTTCCCATCGCCATCACAAATCAAAATTTCTTATTTTGTATGAGCCTTTAAGTAGTATGGATAGTTCTGTTCATCTTATTCCACCTAAGGCAGACCCTAGTTCTGCACCAACATGCACGGGCCTGAGGTGCGCTCCCTTCACACACTTATAATAACTGATGACTTATTTTCTTCTTTTTTTTAAAGACTGTGTTTTTTAAGAGCAGTGTTAGGTTCACAGCCAAACTGAGAAGAGATTTCCCACTTACCCCTTTCCCCCACACATTCATAGCCTACCCCATTATCAACATTCCCCATCAAAGTGGTACATTTGTTATAATTGATGAATGCACATTGTATATATAAACTCTGAAAATTATTTAAGTCCTTTAATGTTTGCTGTAATTGAGATCATATCTCTTGTCCTGAATTTAATTTTCACGAGGCGCAGTTGTTTAGGATAATCTATTTCAGTGTCCAGTAGAAATACGTGCTATATATATGGTTTTAAAATTTCCAGTAGCTACTTTAAAAAAGTAAAAAGAAATAGGTGAAATTGATTTAAATAATATTTTTATTTAACCTAATATATCCAAGATATTGTCATTTCAATATGTAATTGGTATAAAGATTATTAATGAGATAACTTGTATTTTTTTCATACCGAGTCTTAGAAATCTGGTGTGTTTTATATTCACGGCACATCTGCCGTATTTCAGGTGCCAAAGGGCCCCATGTGGTTGCCGCATTGGATGGTATAGATCTGTACGCAGAGCGGTTGCAGGTATAATAAGCGTAGTTTGTACCTTTATTTCATCATTGTCTGTGAATATCAACACACCGTGTGCTTTAGAGATAGCATTTATGGTTAGTTAAATATTAAATTAGGTCTGGCCGGTGTGGCTCAGTGGTTGATCATTGGCCCATGCACCAAGAGGTCTCTGGTTCGATTCCCAGTCAGGGCACATGTCCAGGTTGTGGGCTTGATCCCCAGTGGGGGGCATGCAGGAGGCAGCCAATCGATGTTCTCTCTCATCGATGTTTCTGACTCTCTCTCTATCTTCCTCTCTCTCTAAAATCAATAAAGGAAAAAAAAATTAGGATAGAATTTTCTGTATTAATTAACAAATCTACCCTAAAAATGAATGCATGAATGTATGGAAAACATAAATATGTAAAAATCACAATAAGCTGCTGACTGACTTTAGCAATGGCTATTAGAGGTGAAGGTCTATATATAAATTAGCAATGGCTGAGACATTCAAGTAATAAGTTTTAGCAAAATTATTTAGGATAATTTTCTCTTTAGATAACTTCTTTGTAGTGCTTATAGCTGTAACTTCTCTAAAAGTTTTGAAAGCTGAGAAGCACCATCCCAGATACACTTCATTTCCATTTTCATTTGATTCTCATAAACTCTCATTAGGTAGTTAGGTACTGTCATGACTCACATTTTACAGATGGGGAACCCAAGAGACCAGAGAGGTTTAGTAATTTGCCCCAGGTCACACAGTGGGTAAACTGTGGATCTTGGATTTGAACTCTAGATGGTGATTCCAGAATTTACTTTCTTAAAGTCTGTGCCAGATGGATCCCCTCCCTCAGCATATCTCAGCCATGCATCTTTAAATTGTATGATCAAGGGTAAAGAGTATAGATTGCTTATTGTCCTGGAAACTTGAGTATAAATGAACTCTTTAAATAAATCACATCCTGTTTGCCATTAATTTGCCTTTATTTCAGAGTTGCTTTATTCTGATTTCTGACGGATCTTCAATTTAAATTGAGCTCAACACTATTTCTCTGCCCAACCCTGACTCAAGGGAAAACAGCTAATAACACGTAAGGCAAACCTTCGTTGTAATGGAGAACTAGAGCTTACAGCTTGATTGGGGAGATAAGGCACTAATACTAATGAAATATTATATAACTTACTATTAATTGCAAACATATCAGCAACAACCATTTATTGAGTGAGTGCTCTATGCCTAGCATTGTGCTAAGACTTTGCACTCATTCTCTTATTTAATTGTTCAAATGCTGCCGTAAGGTTGGTTTTATGTAAGTGCCAAAAGCAGTGCTACTGTTGTCTGAAACAATTCGATTCTGTGAGAATTATTACATTTGATTCTGGGTATCACATTTTAAGAGAGGCGTTAACAATGAAATGGCAGTTAGGAAGCCGAGCAATAAGAAAATCGTGTGATGTCTGGAGAGACTGTAGAAACCAATCTTTAACCTAAGGAAAGAAAACTTGGTGGATGGAATAGTTGGTTGTCTTTAAGAATGTGGAACAAGAAATATGATCTAAAGAGAAACCTGACTGTGGAAAAGGATTACAATTTTTCTGTATTTCTCCAGAGAATGTGGAAGGGAAATTTACAGAATAGCAGATTTTTACTTCAAAATAAGAAGTTACTTTCTCAGAGGTATTTGAAAAACTAAACCAACTTTCTGTTTAGATACGTTTGGACAGAGACTAGGTCTCTCCTTGGGTATTTAAGATTAAATGCTTGTATTTGGAAAATTTGGCCGATAGGAATTGGCTGTTAAGTGAGTTGTGCAACTGTTCAGATGAAAGACCCTTTAAGTTCTTTCCAGTCTTGGGGTTTTGTCATAAATTGTGTTGTAAAATCACATTCTTTTTGTAATGCAGATAATTACTATCTCAGTTCTTTTGTAAATTATGTTGGAGATTGTGATTTAATAAAAGAATTTCAGAGCTAAGGAGGACCTTAGAAATCATGTAGTGTAACCTCATTTTGCAAATGATGAAACTGAGCAAGTTAGAGAAGATAAAGACCCAGCTGGACAAGTATTCAGGTGTCCACTTCAGCTCCACTGCTTACTTCTAACATTACAATTATTAACGTGTAGGGGAAACAGACTGAAC